ATTTGCTCCTGGAAGCAGAAAATTATACAAACTTGTTGGTGTTAGAATAAAAGGGAAATTGATTGTTTTGTTGGTATACTCTGTTCTACTCTGAAATTCAAATTAAAGAGAAAAAAAGAGAAACTAAAAAACTACAAGCTTTGGTAAAAGAAGTAAATATGAGATAAAAAATTAGTTTACAAAGTGATCCTCAGACCTGTGGTACCTGGAGTTGGGAGATTTGCTGTTGTTGGACCTTGGCATAACTAATGCCATCTTGTGCCCTGTATTTGACCCAGAAGAGTGAAAAATTACTCAGTGTACAATTCCTATGAGAAAAGCAGAATGAGCTGTACCACAAGAGAAAAATTAACCTGCTCAACAAAGAAACAGGATACAGGTGTCAACCAAAAATTAATGTAATGGCTGGGGATTTAGCTCGGCGGCATAAGCGCCTGCCTTGCAAGCAGGCAGTCGTGAGTTCGATCCCTGGTACCGATAAAAACAAAAAACAAAAAAAAAAAAAAAAAAAAAAAAGAAAAATTAATGTAAGATTTTAGATAAATTGTTTCCAACAGGATGCCTGTTTGTGGTTTTCTGTTTTAAAAGCTCTGTAACTTTCCAGTTGGGTGACACTCAGTGGGACTCTGAAACAGGGGTCCACCGGTAGTTGCTGAGCTCAGGTAATAAAATTCCCAAATTTATCATTTTGGCTGCCTGGATTCTTACATTGTCCACAAACCCACTTCAGCTGTAAAGAGGTATTTCCAAAGGTGAAGAAAATCTGAAAGAATATCATTCAAATTTTATCATTACTCTTCTCTCCAAATATCTTAAAGACAATGCCAGAGAAATACTATTTTTTATGTATCTAAATAGAAAGTCTAACACACAGATTTTACAAGACAAATTTTAGAATACATTCAGGGTTCTTGAAGCTAATCCAAATCTATTTGAGCACATTTCAAAGTTTAGTTTTTTTTCTATGTAGACCACCCAAAGCCATGAGATAATGGTCTTCTTAAAATATTCAGTCATCTATGCATGGTGCAGGTATCGTGCTGATGTAATTAATGACTCTAATCAATTTAAGTAGGAGAGATTATCCCAGGTAATCTGAATGTGCATAACTCAGTTCTTTAGAAAGTATCAGAAATAGGGTTGAATTCCTCCTAAGAACAAAAGAAATTCTTCCTGTGTACTACAGCTTTCATTCCTTGCTATACAGTTTCACTGTGTTCACAATATTCCCTTTTGAACAGTCTGACACAAGATTTCAGACTTGCTTAACTAACAAATGTAAAAGACAAATCCTTGTAATACACTTCTTAATATACATGTATGTTTCTGGGTCTATAGGTATTCTATTAGGTTTGTCTCCTTGTTGCAGTCTGATACATACCAAAGTAAGGAATGTGAATTTAGAAATAATCAGACTTAACTAGGAAAAATTTTATATTTATAGGTATACGGGTTTGCTCACCTAACACTCTTTTTCAAATTATAGATGATTATGGAATGATATAACTCTAAATTAAGACATTGGTATAATACTAAACCACCTTTTGGTAGGCACTACTATTTTATGCCAGAGTCAACATTTATGAACGTTCTTTTTTTTTTTGGTATCAGGGATAGAACTCATGACGACTGCATGCTTGTAACGCAGGCACTTATGCCACTGAACTAAATCCCCAGCCCCTAATTCATTTATTTCTTGAGACCACAAAGAATAAGTCTGGAAATTTTTATTGATGTACTCTAAACTGTTTAATAAAGTGGAGATCCTGGCTATAAGTACAATAAGATAGAAAGAATAAGAATTTCTTCTGTGTAATGACTGTTAAGCTTATTTTTACTTTCATAGGTAGAAGAATGCTCAATACTTTAAAAATGAATTGTACATATTGAAGTATGATGTAGCACTAGTTTTATCAGTTAAGGGGCTACTTAAAAGAGATTCCAACATAAGAACAATCACAAAAAAGATGAGCTAAAAACTAAAACTAAAACAATTATAAACAGCAATATAAAACCTTGCCAAAAAGAACATACATAAATTTGCTGATTTTATACAAAAGCAGGGTACCTAAAAAGTGCAGTTCAACTTAACGTATAACCAGCTGTTCTTTACTTCTGATCAAGCAAAATTCCCAGCAAGCCCCAGCAGCGCAAAAGCAGCAGCCAGCAATTCACTGCAGTATAAGACTGTAGCTTACATAACACTTACTTTCCCAGGAAGTCCCAAACAAACCCCCCTGATGAGGTAGGGACAGAAACCTTGTGTGGAGGATACAATTTGCGGGAGACTTGCTCTCTTGAGAAACAGCATGGCCAAGGGCAAAGGCAACACACATATAAACACAAACACATCAAAACATCAATGGAACAGGACCACGACAAGACGAATCAAAAGATGATAAAACTCAAAATGATAAATTATAGGGAAACAGACACTCACACATAGGGAACAATACAACGGCAACACAAGAAGCAAATGGTTAGTTAAAAACACGGCAGCCACACACATGCATCTCAGTACTAAATCTGAGGGGGAAAAAGGATGATATAATTGCAGCTATTTTTAACATAGAATACACTGATTACCTCCTAGAATAAGCACAACTCAATTTACAAAACTGGTATTCAAGGGCTTAGTGAAATGAAAATCTACCTATAGAAAACTATAATAATATACATAGCTGCCTTTGCTTAAGAAACTGGGTCAAGATTGAGCAAAAAGATAAGTCTTATCAGGGCGGAGAGTGTTCAAATAATAGTTTCCAGCAAGTCTATAAATAACTAATTTTTGCAGAAAAGAAAAAAAAAATTGAGCAGGAATTTTTAAATCCCTTCCAAATTGTAGTTCAACCACCAAGTAATTTCAGGGATAATTTCTCTGGCTTCTGGTTTCTTCTTCCATAAAATACTGTGGGAGACCTCTTTCACAAATTGTGATTCTACTATTTATTCAATATCACGATCTATGCTGCTGAGTAACAACTGACAAAACTGACAGCAAAAACTGGGTTAGGGAAGCTGATTTTGCTTTAGGTTTTGGTTTTGTTTTGTTTTTATAGGCATGAAACTTCGTTAAATCCTGAAACAAAATTATAATACGGTAGGATCAGAGGATAGAACTGCATAGTGTCTTTTCCAACTTCTTAAAAGTTACATTCGGTGAAGCAAAGAATAGATCATTTGTAACTTGCATAAAATGTCAAGAATACAATGGCTGATAAAAACTGCTACAGTATTTGGGGTAGCTTAGATAAAAGCTATGTACATGTAATAGGCATACATTTCTTAAAAAAAAAAAAAAAAAAAAAGCATCAGGGCCAAAAATAAATAAAAAAGGTTTTTCAAGCAAGCTGCACAGGACAGCAAGCAATAATTCCAAATGTAGACTTCTAATATTAAAAAAAAAAAAAAAAAAAAAACCTAGGGCTGGGGATTTAGTTCAGCAGCATAGCGCCTGCCTGGCAAGTGCAAGGTTGTGAGTTTGATCCCTGGTACAAAAAAACAAAAAACAAAACAAAACAAAAAAACCCAAAATGAAACTTTCTCAAGGAAATGCTTTTCTGAAATATACTTAGGATATCAGCCATTAATTAAAAGTATCATATCAATGTAGCACTGCTACTGATTTCAGGATCACATAAAAACAAAGAGAGTTAAATATTACTTTAAGAATATAAGGAAGAATGTGCATGTTGAGGAAAGGGCACAATGCAAGAATTAAGACAAAGAATACATGTAGCCTATATCTTAAAGTTCTGGCAATTTTAAAATTTTGAGTGTCAGAATTTTATCCATTTTTATCTGGAACTGGAGACTATGAATAGAATACCAATGCTATACAAAACTTAGAAAACTGAGCAGATAATGAACTCATGTTGTTCACACTTTCAGTACAGTGAAGAACTGTAAGAGTTGGACATTGTTGTTTCTTGCAAATGAAACCCTACAGGTACAGAATAGGAGGAAACGATAACTTAAAAGGAAAATATCATGCCTATCAGGAACCCTTAGAATTTAAAAAATTAGTAAACAAATGATGAGAGTAGTCTACTAATTGAAAACCTTCAAAAGGACAAAAATAAATTATTTCTAAGAATCAGTGCCCAGGAAACAACAAAGATTAGTGACCTTTTTTGTCAGCCTTTCTAGATAACATAAATAAGTAATAGAGTTCTTTCTAATGAAGAGCTTTCTGAATATACTTGTAAATTTATGTTAAATATATGTTATAAAAGAAGTTAAGACACATATGCTTGACATCCAGTATAACTAATAAAAAATGACAAATTGTAAGACAGTTACCTGGCAGGATCTACTCAAACAGCTATTTTGAATAATTCAAATTGAGAGCCACATAAAAATCACATCTGAGTCTCCTTCTCCTTACATGTCTCTCTTCCTTTTAATTTTGATTTATGCATTGATGTAATAGTTTGTTTCTCCACACTATGAACTATGAAGTCTAAAACTTCACAACCCAAAAGAGCATCAGCTCAGCAAACCACATTTAGTCTACACCAATGATAAACTATTGCCTCCTTGTACATAAGGATTGTTGCTCATAATATACAGAAATAAATAATAAAAAGCCAAGTAGCTATTTGTATTCTCTATCAACCAACAGACAATATTACTTTCTTAATTAATAATACTTTCTCTTCTGTCAGTAAATGCCAAAGTCCATAGTTTCTCAATTGATTTCATTCTATGTTTAGAGAATACAACAAAGGATTTACACTGACTTAGAACAAGTGGGTAATACAGAAATAACAGGCATTCAAAAACCTACACTCAGAGGAAGGTAATGTTGGAATAAGTATATCCTCAGAAGTACATACTTTTGGGCTAGGGATGTAGCTCAGCAGCAAAGTGCCTGTCTGACAAGTACAAGGCCCTGAGTTCTATTTCAGTACCAAAAGAAAAAAATAATAATATTAAAACAAAAACAAGAGTACATAGTTTTAAAACCCAGAGAGTCTCATTTGGTTTTTCTTTCTTACCTTTCCAATTCAGCTATTTTCTTATCTTTATCATTCTTCTCATTTTCTACCTCCTTCAAGATTTCCAAGAGGCGGTCAACCTCTGTCTGGGCCTTGCTGGATTCATCTTTGTACCTAGAAATCTCTCTCTCCAATTGCTGTATTCGGTCAGTCATCTCTGGACTGGCTCTGGCTTCCAATGTTGCCTCATGTGCCTACAAGAAAAAGTGTTCAAAGTCTATTGTATACATACATATATATACCCACACACAATGGCAGTGAGCATAAAGAACTAATTATGCTCTTAAGTAAGTAGACAGTATCAAATACAAATACAATAAATATGATACCATGAAAATGCATTTCAGTTAAGGAAACAGCTACTTCCACACAGGTACCTCCCACCTAAAGCAAGGGGTCAAAATTTTATAAAATAATATGGGAAAAACAAATGGAGTCAGAAATCAAGAACTATATTTAAAACTGACAAAATTTTTATTTAGAATCCTTTTGTAAAAGGCACCTAAAATTATAGGCGCAAAGAAGTTTCAACAACTTAAAACTAATTTTTGACTCTTTAATTTTCCTCTTAAATCTCTAACCCTGAATCTCTATTAAATGTATAATACATTTAATAATGGACGAAAGTTAAGATGTTGGGATTTTTCCTTACTGAATAAACAATGAAACATTAAATGCCTATGTTTTTGAAAGAAATATTGAAAGTTATATAGACAAATCTTAGATAAGATAAAGGCAAATCTTAGAAAGTATTTTAGAAAACTGATGCAAAGTACCCTGACCTAAACGTTTTGTGAAAGTAAGAATATTTTTAAGACTAATGTTTTTACCAAGTCACTTTCATTTCTGGAGAGAAAAAAACCATTCGTCTCTCTAAAATTTCCTAACCCTGAACTTACTTGTGAAACATATTTAAAGAAACAAAAACTGCAAGTTTGGAAGGTAAAAAGAGATCACTGCTCTGTGCTGGGTGTTGTCCAATGTAAAACAATCTGTTTCACACTGTTTTGCTAGTTTTAGAGTTAAAGGCAGGAGGGAAGTTCTGACACCAGTTAGTATTTCATGGGAAGAAGAATGCTACAGACAATTTTTAAAACAGTATGTCTAACAGAAAAGGAGAGAAAAATTATGAAGAGTAATGAGAAGCTATTTTATAGAAAGCTGATCATATTTATACACCAAGATGGAGAAAAACTATGAAAAGAAAGACATGCCTGCTTGGCTTTGCTACGTGGCCCAGGAGGGCCTGCAGCGCCCGAGCTCAGTGAACTGATCAGACCTGGCCTGCTCAGGGTGGCTACAAGACCATCATACCCTGCTGGGTTGGTCCCTTGACTTGGTGCCAGCAGAGCAGAGCTGGGACACAGTGCGAATCCACAGCACAGACCCTGTGCGTTTTCAGGCTCAGTGGACACGGATAGCCTGCTTAGCAAGCTTCCAGGGCAGCTTCCAAGTAGCTGAAGGTGAGGGGTGGAGTGGGCCACCCACGGAGGACAAGTGTACCCCAGGAATGGGTGTCACCTCCTAAAATGACACCTGCGAGGTGCTGGATTCTGTTGTAAAGTCCAAGGTTGTCTGGGGCAAGGCTGCATCTGATGCAGTTTTTCGTTGCCATGTAGCTGACCCTGAATGTTTTTGGGGTTGGCAGATATGCTGTGTCCTTTACAGCCTGGGCTGGAAGGAGTGGAGCAGCATGAAACCAAGCTGATGGGTAGGCTGGTGGCCTCCTCTTGCCACCTGCCACTATCAGAACTGTTGCACCTCTCAGAAAAGTGTCATGGTTGGCACCAACCAAAGTCACTGAGTCCATGACACGATGCCTCTAGGCCACACATCACCTCTTCTGCCACTGCCTCTGCCTTTTGGCTTCTGATTCTTGTCCAGCCCAGTGACAAAGGAGGACCCTGCCCAGCATACCTGCAGGAGCAGCTGTTCCACTTCCCTGAGTAGTACCCACAGAGCTGACCTCAGGGACATAGCTGGACCCCTGGCATGCAGTGCTGCTGTGAGGAGTGATGAGCCGGGGTCTACCAAGGATAGCAGAATAGGGGCTAGAGGTCTCAGGAGGGAACCCTATCTTGGGGTGTCCACCCCCTCTCTCCCTGCCTTGCTGTGCCACACCTCCTCCCAAGGCCTTGCTCAGGGCTAAGTCTGAGTTCTGACATGCACAGGCACTGGCACCTGGACACGTGATATCCAAAGCCTGTAGTTCAGTTGCTGGGTTTGTTCATAGTGAGTGACAAAGGAGGTGAAGGGTGGGCAAGCATGCCCTTAAAGTTGAGTTTGGCCTTGTTAGAAGATTACAAGCCACAGGAACAGGGCACTATGGAGCATGTTCACTTGTTTCCCATCTCTAAACTCGCTCCTGCTGTCAACCAGGGATAGGTGGGAGGGACTCCTGCCCTATGGGACTGGCCCAGGCTGCAGGGCCTCCAGCTTCCTGCCAGTCCTGCCTCCATTTACCTGAGTCTTTCCTGTCCTGGTTGCTCTTCTCATGGGCTGAAATGCTAGAGGTCCTCTGTCCATCAAACTCCAGACCCATAAGCATCAGTGGCACTATCTGCTCACTGCTGTTTTATTGAGAACATGGTCGTACAGTGTACTTGAGTGTCCTTTGGTAGCTCAGGTGACTTTCAGGCAATCCTTAATAGAAGACTGGACTTTGGGAGACACAAGCCCCTCGTTGCTATGCAGGGGTGGGAACTGTCCAGAGCCAGCTGTGTACCCAGCAGGGCTTAGGGAAGGGCTGGGCTAGGTGGGATGTGGAAACTCAGAGCTCAAGAAGCACAGGGCAGTGAGTGACAGCCCCAAGATGGTCTGGGGCAGGAAGATGCCAACACTGGGGCAGAATGGCTCAACACCATTGGGAATGCCCAGTCACTGCACTGCCCCTTCCCAGGGTAGTAGGGTCTGGCGAAGGAGTCCCAAATGTGGGCAGATGGTGGCAGTCATAGCCTGAAGGAGGTGACAGGAAGAAGTTGTCACAGATCCAGGATGTCAGAAGGACCCAGAGTAAGGGATCGATGAGTATCCAAGTCCTGTGGGGTGGAGGATGGTAGGGACCAAGCCCAGCTCACCTCTGACCTCTGTGCCAAGCAGGGGCAAGTTTTCGGAAGGCCACATCAGTGCTGCCTGCCCACCACAGAGTATACATTACTGCTGGGACAGGGTCCCTGCCCTCAATGGCCTGCAGTGGGCAATTCAACCCTTCTGCTCCATTGTCATAACATGAGAAAACTGACCTGTGAGGTACAGGAAGCTGGGAGCTCTGCATTGTCCAACTTTTGGTGTCTGAGAGGTAGCAGCTGGGCACAGGCCCACATGTGCCCTCTCTTGGGCCTTGGGCATTGGACCCTGGGTTTGGAGGGTTCCATTGAACTTCTCTACCTACACCACAGAGGGCAGGGTTGATGGGGTGATCTGCATGAAGAGGAGCCAAATGCTCTTGGCAGGAAAAAAAGGGTGCTAGAGAGGAAAACAATGTGCCCCAGCTCCCACCATATGGCCATAAGTTGTGTCACTGACTTGCAAGTAAGGACAATTGGATCTAAGAGGCTGGCACCGGTGCTCCAAAAGCAAAGACTAAAGGCTAGGGGGCTGGGAGCTCAGAGTACAAAGGCAGCCTAGTGGGGGCATAATTTGGGGCTCACTGTGGGCCTGGGCCTCCCTCCAGCACTGTCCAGGACACAGATGCCTCTGTCCCTGAGATAACACTGCTTGTCTGTGTTTTATGTGATAGTCCATGTGTGCTTTTAAACACACAGAGTATTTTTCTTGTCTGGTATTTGCTTATACCTTAAAAGCTGTTCTGTAATAAAAATAAACCAGCTCTGGGGGAAACAAAAGAGACACCAAAAATGCAAACAAAAACAGAAATAAATAAGAACTCCCAATAAAAAAAGAAGTGATGAAATAGCTAGCAAACACTTTAAAGGGAGGGAAAGAGGACCACACAAAAAACTATGCAAAAACCTAAAGACAGCTGTTACTTAGTAACTGCGACTGAGATAACTCTAATTTACAGTAATTTATCATACACGAATTATTTATAATTCCACAAATATAATTACTACACATTAGCGTCCTGGGTCATACATGCCAGTATGTCTCACCTTAATAAATGTCACTGTGTAAGGAGATCTATTGCAAAGGGGACCTAGCCTAGTGCTCCCTAATGTGAACTTCATAGGTATTTAATTTCACAGCTAAATTCTCCTTTCCATTTTTCTACCCCTCAAATACTAACTGCCATTAATTTTTGTCTTGAAAAATGTAGAGTCCATACACTTTGCTTTTAGAAATATCAGGAAGTCAAAACTGTTCAGAAACAAAAACTGCAGCTTATATAAGTATAGTATCTGTATAAAATGTCATCTCTGAACAAGAAAATGACACCTAACAATCAGTGAACCGGGACTGGGGAAATTAGCTCAGTGGCATAAGCGCCTGCCTTTCAAGCGCATGGTCGTGAGTTCGACCCCCAGTACCAAATCAATGAACCTCCTTAAAATAATAAAAGACTAAGCTTAGGTGAGGGTTTAGCTAAGCAGGCACAAGTGCCTGCTTGGCAAGCACAAGGTCATGAGTTCAATCCTTGGAACCAAAAAAATAAAAATAAAAAATAAAATGAAACAATATAAAAGACTAAGCATTCCATCCTTAGGAATTGCTCTACCAGAAACTGTCTACTTTTTATATTATTAAATACACATACACTGAAAGCAATGATTTTGGTTTTTTGCATTTCATATTTGTCACAGTAAGACATAAACAATTACAGAATGATGTCAACAATCATATCTGTGTACAAATAATAATTTCCATACCATATTTAATGAGAAAGGAAAAACTAAGATGGAGACTTAATAAACATTAAAATATCTGGTCTCTTAAAATAATTTTTAAAATATATTAAAAGAGTAAATATGTATACTGAAGAAAAATGAGGCAAAATACATTGACAAAAAAGGGTCTTTATGGAAATAACAGCAATACTTTTAAGATTAAATCCTTTAATATTTTCTTCTGTCTCAGGTTTAATCTGACAAAAATTCAGTTAATAAGCACAGCCTTTAAAGGAGATTTTGTTGACAGGAATGGATTTTAAATGTGTTGTCAAAATCCTACCCTAAATTGGTATAGTTAAAAGCCACAGCAGTGTGAAAGCAAAGGGAATGACAGAAAGCACACAATGCATTATCCCAAGGAAGACAGAATGCAAACCTATTCAAGGTTTGGGAGAGAATTTTAATTTTATAGAAACTTTCCTACTTCTATTCACCCCAAAATATTACAGGAGTCAGCAAAAAACTGAGCCCTAATTTCAGAGACAGATGAAGAGGTCAGGTGTTTTTATTTTTACAATTAAAGAAGTCACGTGTACAAAAATACAGAAGAATATATGAACCAGGTCTTTGTAACACCTTGTAGACAAGTTACTCCTTAGCTTAGATGGGTGGCTAAAACATGATCTCAAGATACTAAGAGTAGAAGAATTGGAGAAGAAAATAAGAACAAGTAGAAGGAAATGGTTTATGCATAGGGATAAGCAAGAAACAGAAAAGTAAGAGCTAAAAAGTAATGTTAAAATCTCACATAAAAAAACGGGAGTCTAGAAACGTATTTAAAAACTTAGCATTTTTAAAAAAAACTTCTCATAACTCAAAAATTGAGTTTGTACCTTTTCTGAATAATTCTGAGGTTAACAGCTGATGCCAAAGAGGCACATACCAAAACTCAAGCGTAGGAAATGAAATGTTATCCTATAAATAGGTGAAGAAAGACTTCAATTATCATTACCTCAAAGCCAGTCATTTTATATTTTCAAAGTTTCAATGTTAAGAACATCCTTTTGAATCGGTATAAATTAGAATACTAACCTTACACCACAAATGATTTCAGGAGAAAAAAAACATGGCAAATAATATTTACAGATTTACGCTATTACCTACAAATGAGCTTTAAACCAAAAAATGTCTGCTAATGTAAACAGAACAAAATTTTAGGTCTAATGAGTCGCTAAAAATATTTTAGGAGGGGAAAATCAGAGCATACAGAAAGAGAGACAGAACAAGGTAATCCTAGAAGTCCTAGGCACAACTGTAAGTCATAGGCCAGCTTGTGAAGCACAGTGTGTGTGCATGCATGTATGCATGTGTGCGTGCATGTGTGTGAAAGAGGGCAGGAAGGAGGAAGGAATAACAGTAGCCCAACCTTCTTGGAGTAGGTAGCTTAATACAGAAATAAGTAGCTTAATACAAAAATACCAGTAATCAATCTAAAAGTTACAACTGCCTATAATAAAACAAGAAAATATGAGAACATGAATAAGATAAAAGGAGAAAGTTACCTACCTCTGAATTTTATATTTTTGTCATAAATCTAAATATAAAACCTTAAATATTAGACTGTGGAAGTGTCTAACTACAGATATATCAAGCTACACAGAAAGATCTAAAATAAACTACAGAAAGAAAATGTGAGACTGTCCCATTCAGGAGTGTTTAAAAGTTAACATTAAACTTGACAGTTACCTCTTAGATTTGTAATTCTAAATATACCTTAACAAGTTCGTCTTCTATATATATATACATATATATAATAGAAAATTATTTTCATCCCTCTAATGAAGAACAAAAATAAAGACAACTAAAAAATCTGAATTACTTATAACTGGAATCCTTAATCTCAAAGTAACTTTAGGATACTGATTCTCTTTTCCCTAGCTTTAATTCATTTGACTTTTTGGCATTCTCTAAATGAATGATTAATGTAAGGAAAGAACACAACTGGAAGTTTCAACATGAAGATCTATCTCTTATTCATCAGAAGGCATATGAACAGGACCCAGTTAGCATAGTTCCTCAAATTTCCAGTGACAGTCCTCAAAGAGTTGATAGTTTACAGATAAAGTCTTTCCACAGTACTCTGAAAACTATAAGTAACTATATAAAGATCAATGAATACAAAGCAAAGAAATACACAGTAAATATCTATATTATACCTAATATTTACCAGTATGGGTAACTATCACTGTTATTATTATCTCCGTTCAGGAAGCCTGATTTTATGGGAAGAAAAATATCACAGGTTTTAATATTGTGGTCTTACATTTCATTTCTAATGTATATTTTATTCTTCCTCTAATCTGTAAATTTTCTAAGAGACTATGAATTCTAATGAATAAAATAAAGTATGCATGCTAAGGTGCAAATGGTAATTCAGTAACTCTATTCATAAGTTACTGCAAATAAACACCTTTCAGCTGGGCATGGCAGCCTGCATATTATCAGTATGCAAGAGGCTGAGGGAGGAAGACTGAGACTACATAACAAGATCCTGGGGGCTGGAGATTTAGCTCAGCGGCATAAGCGCCTGCCTTGCAAGCAGGCAGTTGTGAGTTCAATCCCTGGTACCAGTAAAAAGGAAAAAGACAAAAAAAAAAAAAAAAAAAATTTTAAAAAAAAAGATCCTGTCTAGCCTGGACTACATAACAAGATCCTGTCTCAGAAAACAAAACTACTCTAGAGACATCGACTGTGTTATTTAAAACAAAACAAATGATAGAAATTTCTTGAACCTTTTTCAACTGCAATTCCATTTTCAAACATTCTTCCTTCTTCTGTTCCAGAGCAATCTCTAGTGTCTTAAGTCGTGAGTCCTTTTTTAGGCCTGAGGAAGCCAGGGAAGAAGCATGCTCTTTCAGATCCAACAGTGAAGCCTAAAAGAAGCAAGACACATCTAGAATAAATATTAAATGAAATAAAATGTAAATGCATATTTTTAAATTTATTATCATGGAGGCTTAATAGTTTCTTTTCAAGACTATTCATAAATCAGAAAATATTAGCTTTAGCTTTCAAATAAAAATTAAAATACCATCTATTCCAGTATCAAACAGTTGAACAGTGCTTTAAAGAGTTCTAACCATATATACTTATTTTTACAAAATAAAAGTAGATCAAGCTTTGTGAATATAGGCAGTCAAACTTATAGCTACACTAACTTAAATATAAAAGATTTTTCCTTATAGAAGAAAAATTCTACTAGAAACTTATATCCATAAAATTTCCCAGAGAATTTAAAAAGAGAATCTCGAAAGGCACTAAGGTTCCTGTATCACATGTCATTAGTGTGTGTGTGTGTGTGTGTGTATGTGTGTGTGTATGTTGTGTGTGACAGTACCAAGAACTGAATCAGGGCCTTCACACTGAGATACATCCTCAGCCCTTTTTATTTTCCTTTTGGAAAACTGTGTAGTGGCAAAGTTAAATTGCCCCAGCTGGCCTTGTACTAGCAATCTTCTTCCCTCAGCCTCCCAGAATACTGGGATCACAAGTGTGCACCACCACACCTTGCTGCCTTTAGACAGTTTTGTTCTTTAGATCACATTAGCAAGAATCTCCAAAAGCAATATCAAAGTAGTCATCAAATTAATAATTGCAAAACTTAATCATTATAAAACTGTTTTCCTCTTTTTGCCTAGTCCTTTTGTGTGCTACTTTTCTAACCAGTAGCACAGTATTTCACCAGAAGTTTCTAGGCTCCAGTAGTTTAGAGCTACAAAGGTGTCATTAACAGGTAAGAAACCAACTCAAAACAGTGAAAGACATAGAAGAACACAGAAAATGAATCTATCTACTATGTCTCTACAAAGCTTAATGAAATATCATTTAAGGTACAAGTCTCCAGCCTTTTGGCTTACCTGGGCTGTGAGACGAGGAAGTGTGATGGGTTGCACATAATTTATGTAATATGATAAATGTATTTAATTAACTAAGCTTCCTCTTTTAACACTTAATTTATTATTTTATAAATAACAAATATAATATATAAGAAAATTTATATGTGTGCTCAATAGCAATAAACATCTACCTTCACAAGCACACAGGAAAACTGAAATACTATTACCAGTGATTATTACATTTTACTCACGAAGTCCCACAAATGTATGGAATGTCTTATACAAGCCTGTTTTAAATTTACTGATTGTGTGTAGTGACTGTAGGAGGCAGACTTAGCATTTCACTGTCCTTACCATATACATATTTCTGTTGTCACTTATACCGTCCATGGTTGAGCACAACCAAGTAATGAAAAAAAGTGAAAATCACACAATAATGCTAAAAGCTTATGACCTTACTGAGCCACAACACTAGCTCTCTAGGGTTATATACAGTCTGTAAGCTATTAGCAGGACACTTACGTTACAGTATTCACCAAAACTTGCTATAAGATGAAGAAAATCTTTCATCCAATATTTTTAAATGGATTATGCAAACAGCTACAATATGTATACACAATGCAATGACTAAGCAAACCAAATAATTCTATTTTGGTGATCTTAACCTCTTTCTCTGAGAGATCGCCTTGTAATAGGCTAACTTTTTCTTTCAGGTCTTTAAGATCTTTCTTATAGTTATCAATTTCTTCTTGCTTCTCTCGCTCATCTCTGTCCCTCTGTTCCTTTAAGCGCTCAATTGTCCGCTCCTGATAAGAAAACACATCAACATATAAAGAAATTCCTTTTTGCACTTTAATGATTAATTCTGCCTTCAGCTAGTAATATCTGACACTTCTATTCTCTATTGAAAAAGATAATGATATGCTTTTTAAAGAGTTCAGTTCACTATTAAACAATCGGCTTTTTCTACTACCAATAAAGAAGTGGCTTTACTTTTTGAATGCCAAAGTTTTTTTTCTTATACTCTCAAATATTATTAATTAAGACTACACTATTCTCTTGGATTAGTCCCATTTAAATTCAATTTCCAAGTAAATAAATAAGTATATACATATCTACATACCCCCTTAGGATAGTTAATAACAAACATTTCGTCTTTATAATTCACACATTACCTATAAAAATAATAAACAACTCACAAATCACCAAATTAAAAAAAAAGAAGGCAGAGATTTGATATGTTGTACTGAAAGTATAAAGGAAAGTAGTATGAAAAAATCATTAAAATTATTTTCTGTCAACAGAAAGTTTGAAAGCTGAAGCAATTTAAGTATATTTTGGGTACTATTTTTAAAAAATGCAGAGAGCGAGCTTGATCTTGGAGGGCAGCTGAAAGCATTCTGAGGCCACGAGAGTTCAGGCAAACTGATCCTATTCCTTTAATGAACAAAACCCAATTAAAATTTTTATGAAGATTCTCTATGCCACTTTCTAAAGCATCAACACTGTTCAGTTTAGGGCTCTTCAATCACCTACTCTGAAGAACCAGGTTCATTTATAAAGGCAAAGTAAGTAGAAAATTAGTAAGAAAATTACATTAGTGAATAAAATTCATGACTACGCTAAGTTTTAAAGTAGAATACTACGTATTTAAAGGAGAATTAATGATATATTTCTTCCTGATAGCCTCTATTTACTATGCCTACATCCCCACATTCCAGTTGACCAAAACACATTTTCTTTTTCATCAGAAAACAACAAATAAAAATATATGGCTGATTCTTTAGAATATTTGGACACTGCCTCCTGGTATGGAATTCATCTCGCCTAATAGAATGTGCTTAAATTGACAACCATTAAATGAACTTTTTTTCCTCTTTACATTATGTATGTCAGCAATAGTACAGAAGAGCTTTTCTTTCTATTGTCCAAAGAGACTTCTATATTTTATGCATAATTTTAGGCTAATGAGAGAGTAGAAGCAAAGTATCTGTGCAGATCCCAGGCCAATTACTCACTTTCTCAGCAAGGGCCTCCTCCAGAGTTGTCAGGGCAGTGTCAGTGTTGGTAGTATCAGCCTGCAGGGATTTGACTCGTTCTTTTAAGCTGCTCATCTGCTTTTCCTTATCTCTTAGCTGTTCTTGAAGATTTTCAATCTGAGCATGCACATGATTTAAAAAAAGAAAAAAGATATTAACAAATGAAAATAAGCCAATAAAAATCATTTTAAGTCATTCTCATGCATTTTAAGCAACAGTCAGCATAGGTTTGTCTATGTGTGTGCATGTTCTATGGAAGCAACTGTCAACAAAGGTTTGTCTATGTGTGTGTGTGTGTGTGTGTGTGTGTGAGAAAGAGAGAGAGCGACAGAGACAGAGACAGAGAGAGAGTTCTATGGAATAAGCATTAGTTTCAGAATTACATTTAAAACCTTTAAGTCCAGAATTCATAGCTATGACGGATAAAAGACAAACACTTTGAAATGGACATATACACATAAATCCAAATTCCTAATGAAAGAAGGAAAAAAGCTAGGAAGAAACACCCAACATAGACATAGGCATGGAGAGAGGGACTACAGACCCTAAGCCACAAAAAGCTATTACTTCTAAAGTGACAATGTAAATGCCAAAGAGTAACTCCTTCACAAATAATTGAGGAAGTAATGTGGGATAGAAGAACTAAAGATGGGTAGAAAAGACACAAGAAAATTTTGTTTTTACTTATTTTTGGTCTTTCTTTCGGCTCTGCCCAAAACATGCTAATCATTCAGACCATGTCCATAATATTCTAAGGTTTATTATAGCTATATGTAATTCAGTGCTACCCCAATATTTTCAATAACAGAACTTACACATTCAGAAAAAAAAAGCATTATGAGCTTTCTAAGACTTATACCTACCTTGTCTGTCTCATTTCTCTTCAAAGCTAAGGACAAGATAAGAGTAATTAAAGTAAATTTTCAAGGTTCCCAAGGATATTCAATTGCTAGCTTTTACAACATCCAGTTCCAGAAATGGTCTAGAATAATGCCTTAATGTCTTTAATATGTGATCACCCAAGTTTCATGAAAAGTAGAGCCCAAGTTTCATGAAAAGTAGAGCCTCCTAGATAATTCCAGGATGAGAACTCTTCCCCCCAAAGAGAAGCAAATATATCATGACTGAAGCAGACTCTTCCCAACAGAGCAAGAATATCATCTCATGGAACCAAATCACTCCTCAAGCTACACGGATTGCTCTGGAGCTATGGAAACCAAAACTGATCCACCAGATCCCCACTCAACTCAGCTAATCTTTAAAAGCTGGCCTCATGCTTTGTAAGTGGACCAGTGTGAGCCCCTGCATCAGAGTGCACCTCCTACTTTAGCTGGTGTCTTTTTTCTATTCTTCCCTTTTTTTTAGGGGGCAGTCTTTTTGAGACGGTTTCACTGTGCAGTTCAGGCTGGCCTTAGACTCACTTTGTAGCCTTGAACTCATTCCTGCCTCAGCCTCCACAGTGCTGGGATTACATGCAAGCACCACCACACTTGGCTTTCCTTTACTTTTTAAACTATGTTTATAACCCTATGCTTCACAAACATAGAAACTGCTGAAATCCTTTTTCCATGATTTAAGTCCTGAATCACCAGGACAAACTGAAATTCCATTTCCTGTTGAGATCTCCTTGGACCTCTATAGCTAGGAGGAAAGCTTCTCCATAACAGGAGAACAGAGAATATTTCAGCTAAACCATGAGAAAGAAAAATCAGCTATATAATAGCAAAAGATTCCATTCCTAAATGATAGCATGAAGTTAGATGTTTATATAACTTGTTATCTAAATAGCAAATTCCTTGTTATCACCATTCTTTTACGCACACTTGCTCAAGTGAATATGCATTCACTTGCTCAAAAAAACATTTACTGAGTTATCTATTCTGTGCCAGGCACTAGTTATACAAACAAAAATGAATGGACCTATTTTTATTTTAAGATGAGATGTTAAAAAGAGCTCCCCATTATGTAGCTGAAGTCAAGCTATAGAGGGATTTATAAAGCCTTCTATGGACAGATTTTATTCTAGACAGATGGAAACAGTAGATATTTTTAACCACAGAAAGGAGCTAGTCATTTTATTTAAGCTATTTAGATGGCTATCGTTAAGGTTTTATATCTAGATATCCCCTACAACCTCATGCATTCATGGGGGGGGGGAGTGATTGGGTCATGGGGTGTGTTAAATGTAACATTGGGGAATACTAGGGCATGGCTTAGAAGAATCTCTCTCTCTCCTACCTTAATTGTTCTCTGCTTCTTGTGCCTATGCCATGGGCTCTTTTTCCTCTGTCATGCTCCCTACCATGCTGCCTGCCTTAGAGCCAGAAAGATGACTATGGATGAAACCTCTATAAGGTGTGAGTCAAAATAAGCGTCTCCTTTAATTAAGTGTTGGATATTTTTGTTCCAGCAACAAAGTAAGCCAGTTATTGATGAAAAATTTAAAGGACCTTGCATATAGACACAAAATCATTAAGTTCAATCAAGAAATTATGGGGACACAAAGCCTAAAGGGTGTGGAAAAATGGGCCATGTATTGGAGAAACACTGTGCAAGATTTCACAGAAATTAAAGTACATAGAAAAATATTACTTTTGTATTGTCGTTTTTAATATTGGAGGCTGAACACAAGTCTTTAGGAAAGGTAAGTACATGCTCTACCAATGAGCTACATTCCCAACTGTAGGGAGATATTCTTTTTTTTGGTCTTTTTTTTTTGTCTTTTTCGTTTTTATCAGTACCAGGGACCGAACTCACGACCGCACACTTGCAAGGCAGGAGCTTGTACCGCTGGGCTAAATCCCCAGCTCATAGGGAGATATTATTAAAGACAAAATTGTGAATAAACTAATTATTCTAGAATTCACAAACTTCATTCACTTAATAAACTATTGAATTTGAGTTCCTGTTGTCAGGCAATTTTCCAGATAATAAGGATACAGAAGTAAAATTAACCAAAATTCATGTCTTCAAATGGTACTTGTATTTTAGAATAACAAAGGAAGGAATGAAGGTAATTAGAGAATGAATAAATATAGTATGTAGGATGGCAATAAGTTCTATAAAAAATAAAAACTCAGCCATACACTGAAATACATGGTCTTCCACTGTATTAGGTATCGTTAAAATGGCAATGACCCCTATCATAATGTACAGATTCAACATAATTAGTATCAAAATTCCAACTGCCTATTTTATAAAAATGGATGTGCTTGGGGGCTGGGGATTTAGCTCAGCGGCATAAGCACCTGCCTTGGAAGCAGGCAGTCGTGAGTTCGATTCCCGGTACCGATAAAAAGGAAAAAGACAAAAAAAAAAATGGATGTGCTGATTTCAAAATTCCTATGGAATTACAAAGGATCCCATTAAGCCAAAGCTATCTTAAAAAGAAACAATGGAGAAAAAATTGAAATAGTGGTGGTGGATCCAGTTTCCAAAAGCATGCTACAGCGCTATAGGAATCAAAACACTGATAAGACATTTAGAATAAAATTAGGACCCCCATAAATAGACCAACATGTCTGTATCAATTAATTTTCAGCAAGTGTGCCAAGATGAGAAAGAAAAATACTTTCAACAAATGGTGGTAGGACACCTAGACATCCTCAAGCAAAATACTGAAGTTGGACCCTTACCTCACACCACATATAAAAACTGATTTGGAATGGATCAAGACCTAAAGGCAAAAATCAACCAGCTCCCTCTAGCTCTTGGGTTCTTTTTTGGGGGCAAAAACAGTGAAACCTACAAAACAGTAAGCAGCAAGCAGTGGCCAAATATTTGTTTATTAGAAAGAATAAAAAACAAAAAGATCTCCCTACTTGTTGGGGAAGGGTTTCCATAAGAATGGAAAAAAACTGTAGATTAAGTTTATTGGCTTTTTATAGTTTTGGGGACCAGTGAACCATGACAGAAAATAGGGATGCCTCCAGTTGCAAGTAGGTCTTTCATGTCCCGAATGCAAGCTGCTTCCTTCGCATTTCACCCCCTCTAAGGTTTCTCCCATTTGGTTACGAACCTGTTCTTTGTTCCATTAGGCCTGATGGTCAGTTTGATTTAGTAACTATTTGGGTCCTTTGGTATGTTTACATGCTTAAACCCTGATTTTTAGTTAACTATTCAGGACCTGTTCCAGTTCTGATTAACTTCCTTTATCCACCTGCCCCCTCACTCCTTTCAAGAATCAAACTCAGGACTTCACACTTGCCAAGAGGTGCTGTGCCCTCTATCTTCTTGCTTCACATAAAACACGTAGGAAAAAGCCTTTGTGATCTTCATTAGGTTTCTCTGATGACACCAAAAGTATAACCAATTCAGGAAAAACAGAAAAGACTACAACAAAATTAAAATTTTTGCGTTATCAAAGAACACGATCAAAAAAGTAAAAAAAAAAAAAAAAACTAACCACAGAATGTAAGAAATATCTGTAAATCAAGTATCTGATGAGTTGATTCTCCAAAATAACAAACATTTTAGAACTCAACAATAAAAAACAAAAGTTTAAAAAAGTAAAGGACTTGAAAAGATATTTCTCCAAAGACATTCAAATAGCTAAAGAACATATACTTGTTGGTAATGATACTAACCATTAGTCACAGTCATTGCAAATCAAACTGTAATGAAATACTACCACACAACCAATAAGGTGGTTACTTCTTTTTTAAAGGCAGAAATAAGTGATGAGGAAGATGTGGAGAAATTAGAAACAGAATCAATGAAAAGATAAAATGATACAGCTTTGGAAATACATCAGTTGACGAGTCCTCAGAAACATGAAATTAACATATGACTCAGTAATTCTACTCCTAGGAATACATGCATGAGAAATGAAAACATCTTAATACAAAAACTTCTAGTTGAATGGCCACAGACTTATTTTTCATAATAGCTAAAAACAGAATCTGAATGTCCATCAACTGTAAATAGATACACAAATTTTAAAGTATTAATGCCTGCTACAACTTGGACAGATCTTGAAGACATATTTAATGAAAGAAATCAGGCACAAAATGGCACAACTTATATGATTATATTATATGAAGTTTCCACCATAGGCAAATCCAGAGAAATATAAAGTAGGTTAGAGATGAGGTTGTGACTGCTAGCAGATTTCAGTT